AGCCTCAGGACAATCTCTGCGACCTAAACTGATGTTTTAGTCTTTCTGTAGTGTTGAGATCTCTGTGCTGATGGAAACCATTGGACGGAAGGACTTGAGCAGCTTCATTGTTCCTCACTGTCTGGATCCTCAGGCCCTTTGTCCTGATGGTGTGCTTTTCTCTTGTGGTTTCCTCACCACGGCATGTGGTTTCCCTCCAGGGAAACATGTCTGCCAGTTTACTAGGACCTAGGTGCAGGGTCTGTGGTCTCTTCCTGGCCCAGTTATAATCCACCTTTGTCCATGTCTACATGTGTTTTTCATATGTATACTATACCAACTGTCCCTTTAGGTGTAAGATAGATACAAGACAACCATAACAGATATCAGGAGAGAGAGGATTCGTTTCGTTCTGGCCTAATACAAAAAGAGAAATCATCTCTGGATCCACTCACAGATTATTTTGTGTGTTTAGGAGCTGGCGGTTAAGAATGAATGTGGCCTGAGTGGAAACCCCTTGAAGATTTCGTGGCTTGAAGGACAGCCTGAGGTTATTGCTCCAGTATCTCAGCCTGGCCAGTTCATGCCTTCGCAGGTACCGGTATAACACGAAAATGCACTGTTGTAATTCCCCCCTTTCTTATAAAGCATGTCAGCTCTATGTTCCCATGTGCACCACTTCCAACACAAATACTATTGACTAAACACTGCCCCGCAAAGAGAGGTATGTAAACTTTCTGAGGTTTTATTTTCATATCAGCGGCACAAATATTGCCCTAGTGCTTGCACTCCCCTACTCTGGCCTAGAACAATGTGTTTGGTTAAATGGACCTCAGTTTATTTGCTTTGGAGTGGTGAGGCGCTGGCCCGGCACTGGCCCAAAGCCCCTGGTCGACCGCTCATTAACGGGCCTGACCTGGGAGACCCCAGGAATGCTGCACTTCACATAGCAACGCGGGAGGAGCAGTTTGCAATAATGGTAGCCTGGCATGTGAGACTGATTAAATGTGTGCTCTGGGGCATTTGAGCCTGTGTGTTTGTATTGCTATTGATAATGAAGAAATTAATTTTTTTTTCTTCATTTTGATCATTTTAATATCTGTGGGAATTTATTTTTTTTTTAAGGGGAATGTAATTGCTCATTTTGAATTTGAAGGATTTATTTTCTGCTGGCCAAACATTTGCTGCACAAAACCAGAGAGCTTTATTGAGGAGAAACTGTCTTAAAAGAATTCCCTCTGATGTGTTGCCTCTTGTGATTTGGCGATCACAGTCCATATTACAATCTCGACTTTCTTGATTGATTTTGCTCGCGTAATATTGTCTTTTGCTGCCAGCACACATGCAGACACCAAAGGTATGTTAACTCCATTGCAGATAGGGTAATCTCATTTCAGGTATATCCTCTCAGAATATACAAGGTTTTTCTTTCTTGTCATTAGATTAGTATGAAGGGATGTTTTGTTTCCACTGGGGCTATTTTACCTCTCTTATGTAGTGATCTTTACATATGGAGGATTGCAGCTTAGTAAACTCTCTCCCTCTACTTAACTGTGTCTCCAGAGCTGCTGCTGAACTGGGTTTCACCTCCAGCTTAGTACGATGTCACAGATCACCTTGTCAGGGCTAGCATCTGAGACTCAGCCTGCACACTGGGACTTGTCACTGTAATCTCTTTAAATGTTATTATGGTAACCCAGTTTGCTCGCAGATTTCCAACTTTGATTGCTTCATCTTTGTTTTGTATTTTTTGTCCTGCACCTGAGAATGAAAACAGTACTATGGCTGGTTAAATTTCACGTTAGCCCTAAGCAAGAATACCTCTCGCTAAAGAGGCCACACATGACATGACACCCATCTCCTCAGACTCTATCTGAAATGTAAAAATCAGATCCCTCTTCTGTTGTCTACCCCTCCTTCACTCCCCTACACCAGCCAGCTGGAATCACATAGGAACAGCTTGGGCGAGGACTTGCTTCTTTAACCTTGTCAATCCAAACATAGTGCTCAGAGAGTCCAAGTCTCACTACAGGGAGCTCAGAGACACATATGAATGACTTCAGCCTCAGCTTCAGTTCCAGCTCTGGTGGGCTTGATAAACGAATCTGGGGCCAATGTTAGGGGCCTAATGGAATGAGGGCCACAAATTCCCCTTGAAGACCCCCTTCAGGGTCCAGAGACCTCGAACATTACTAACTATACTGTGATGTGATTTTGACTGCCCTCACAGACACTGAAGAGACCTGTTGAACTGTTTGCTCTGGTTTTGTTCTGCTTGCTCAGAAAGCAGATAAAACAGGCCTTACTACATTCCCCCAGTTTTTCTCACCATGGATATTAAAAATTTCAAAATAGGGAAGGGCCACATCTTCCACACTGTGTGAAATTGCTCCCCATGCTCCTGACTTAATTTAGGCCTCTCTTTGGGGAAAGGATCTAGTTTCATCTCCAGACTGTTCTTTGTTATGTCTTTACCCTTTGACATAGTAAGTGAGAGATTGGGAAATGGGCAGGTTTATAAGTGCTTAAGTCATTCTCATAAGTGAAAACATTTCTTTTAGCATTGTATTGTACACACTTGCAAATCTCAGTGAATCCCGAATGAGTCACAGTGCTTGTTGTTTAATATTAATTGTGGCATGTGTGGTAACAGACACACTGTAGGGCTCAGATACTGTTCACCTAAGAACAGTGCTTTGTAAGAGTTGTAAACAGTTGCTGCATCAAAATAGTATCTCATGTGTGGCCCACTATATAGATTCCACAGAGTCTGACTAATAATTCATATCTCACTTCCCAGACTGTCTCCAACATGGAATCACTATCTAACCATCTGCTTTCTCCTTGCCAGACATAATGTTTGTGTCTCCGGAGATATGATGCCATCATTAATCACTGTGTCTTGATTCATGGTTTATTACGTAGCTTAGCATACCATATTATTTAAAGTGAATCTATTGTAAAGGATTTAAACTTGAGCCTTCTGTGCCTGCTTCTTGCATGAGCCAGAGAGTTATCACAAGCTTGACACAACACAGACCAGATGCAGCAGATCAGCTATTCTGGGATTGTTTTTCCAGCCCGTCGGTTTGCTAGTGCTTGAAAAGTGCACTCTCACCTAAAATAGCCCCTGAGTTTTGAAGAGATGCACCGTATGTGGCCATGTTGTTGCCATATTCATCCCTGGCCTGACCCACTCGCTGAATGGCGATAATGTATTGTACTTCTGTATTTTACTATGATCAGACCCAGAAGGAGGAAATTTTAGTATTGGTTTGTACCTAATATTAATATTGTGTGGCAAGTTTGAATGGATAGCGTATTAAAAGACAGTGAAACTATATGAGGCTGGACTTGTTGGTGGTATATTTTTTAATGTATAATGAGATTTCAAGGAGCAATACCACACTGTTTGTAGAAAACATATACTGGTTGAGGATAGCTTGAAATACATAGTTTTGCTTTTCTCATTTGATACAGAATTAATTGTGTTATTGTGTTAATTATACATCCAGTTCATGACACGTCTCATGAGAAGGGATAGCTGCTGTGGTCGGGCTTGGCCCTAACCATCTATAGCTTGATAATATGTTCTGACATGATACAGACAGCACAAACAATATCAGTTTTCACAAAACCGCCCTTTGTGTGTGAACCCATGTGAAACCATGCAGCATATTTCAGTAGAATATATATAATATATATATATATATATACAGTATATATACTATATATATATAATATAATACTCATAGGAGTGCCATTAAAAAGAGTAAAAGAATAAGAACATAAATGTGTAAATATAAGGACAAATAACCAATTATAAAAGAAGCATTTTCATTCATTTTCACATTTATCTGTTAATTTATTTCTGTAAAAATGTAGTTTTAAATTTTCTGAAAATATATATAATTATTTATTGCATATAAATTACTAACTTCTATTCTGTATATTTTTAGATTTTATTGATGTATTCTTATATAATCTCTTTTTCTTTCTTTTTATGCCATTATTTTTCCTGTTGCTTTTCTCTATTGTTTCCTGGTAAAGAAGATAAATAAAGGGATAAAAATAAATAAATGACATTATAAAAGTAAATAAACTAAAAAATAAATATATACAGAAAAAGTTTATTTTATTAGCAAAAGTAAATGTGAAAATGCTTATGTTTTTATATATTTGGTCATTTTTCTATATTTCCACCTTTTTTTTTGATTATTTTGATTATTTCTCTTACTTAGTTATTCTTTTATTCATTCCTCTTAACATTTCAACATTTATTTTCTCATTCTTTTACAGATTTATTATTTTTGTGGAACTCCTATGACTCCATAAGGTTGAACTGGGAGATGCAATTACAGTCGAAGGACACCTCTCGTATTTGCCAAAACAATATTTTCAGTTTTTTAGTTAGTACCTGACAAAATAAATAATTCATTATAGCTACTCTTCAGTGAGATGACAGGGTTTCTTGGTAATCTGTATGACAGCAAGTTTAGATTTTTGGAGGGAGTGAAGTGGTACCAGATGTGATTGGGATACTTCACAGCTCGGCCAGTTTGTGCAGTGCAGACAAGATAATTTGTCTTCAATTACCGACTCTTTCTTCTCACATCAGTCATGTGGCTGAACTCTTGTTGAGCTTAAGTTTATGTGATTCTTCACACTGAGGGCTCTTGTGTAGATTGCAGAGTCATAGCAGCCAAGGACTGTCGTCTTCAGGAAGGCTTTTTGTCCAGAAAAAACAGTAAATGTTCATTTTTGAAGGTTATAATGAATAAGGATTTGGTTTTCATATATTGCCAGAATTATCTTTAATCAATTCTTTCTGAAGCACTTAAAATACTAAACATGTTTAGTATTGTTTTTATAGGTTAAAGTCTTTTTTTACCCTTATGTAGTTTCTCAATAATTTGTTTGCTGTTTGTTTTTCATAATTCTTCTTTTTCTTTTGAATAAATGAGGCTTTGAGGGTGATTGTGGCAGAACAGGGAAGACTGTCCAATGTAAAGTCTGTGTGGCTGAGTAGCTCTTTCTCCTGCTTATCATAAAAAGCCTGTACAGAAATGTCTATGAAATTACTTTCAATGGTTACCCAGGGTGTGTCAACCCTGGTTAACCATTGAAAGTAATTTCTTTGTGATACAGGTGTACTTGACATTACTGAATGCCTAGCAACCCAGCAGTTCAAAGTCCAGTTTACAGTATTACCATGAAACTACATGAAATCCTGCTTAACATGCCTGTCTAATTTAGGCTTGTGTGTGTCTTCACCTTGAAATAATATTGTGCTGCTTGTAGTGTTGGATAGTTCAAGGCTATAATTTCTCTAGAAACTGTGCAGAAGTGACAGACAAGGCTTATTGCCTCCACAGTGGCTTCTGATGGTTACAAAGCCAAATAAGTGTCAGTTCATCAGGGTGTGTAAACAATCTCATACAAACTCTTAAAATGTTGACACCAGCACTTCTGTCCACAAAACCACCAATCTTGGAATTTAAAACTTGGAATTTTTCTTTACTTCCCTAAATACAAAACAGTACATTTTTCAATGTAAAAAAAAAAAAAGTTTCACAATGTGTTATTGTCATAACATATACAAGAAACAGGGGCAATGGTATCCAGTTTAAAATAGGAGATGCCAAAACAGATATACAGTGCAGATGTACCCACAAACATTGCAGTGTCTGTAAGGACATACATAGAATTCTAAACCTATTTCTAGAAGCGGGACACTTGTGGTTTGTTTATTTTGCAGCATGACCCCATGGGGCACATAGGAATTTGACTGGTTCTGGGTTTGCCCCACAGCCTTTTCTGCCAACCTCCCACTAAGGCACAGACTGTCCTGACTCTCTTCTCTCCAAACCTGAGGAAATTGAACCTAGATTGTCTTTAAAAATCTCAGTTTGACCATGCGTGCTCACACGTATACAGGTGTGTTTCTTTTTAGTTACACACAGTGTGTGTGAGATGCAAGCGTGTATTTTTCACGTGTCGGGGGTCTGTTTAGTCAGAAGGTAGTGTTTAAAACCTCATCAGGAGTTATGCTGCAGTAATGGATGTCTCTGGTCCTCCTCCCTCGACACCCCCTGCATATGTGGAAGTATCACATTACCCTTTACCACTTTCCCTTTCGTGCGCCACTCACCAGAGCATCGGACTCTGATTTGCAGCTAAGCAAACAGCTTGCTCCAGAGCTTCTTTTTTTTTTTTCTTCCTCTTCTTCTTCTGAGGTCTTGGACCTGTGGCCTGGCTTGGTCTGCAGCCCAACCTGCCACCACTGGCTGGCTTTTATTGGAAGCAGAGCTAAGTGTTTGTTTTCACTGCATTGAGAGAGATGGGGGGTACCTTGGTCTACCTTTGAGTGGGGCCTCTGGGATGCGTGCGGAGGAAAAATTGCCCTCTGCACACAATAGATTGGCAAGCACGCCAAGAGCCAAGACATCACAGCTCGAGGACCTTGGATTCCAGCCGCAGCTTTTCTTTTCTTAAACACAACACTCTTAAGTCTTAACAGCCGTTTTCAGCACAGTGCTGTGTGGTTTGGGGGACTACACTAGCAAAGGAGGGAAGTAAAAGAAGGTGAAAATGTCCAGCTTGGAGTTTGACATCAGACAGCGTTCAATTATTAACTTAAACATTGCATCTACCTCTGCAAGGGGTGAATCTAAGGAGATCATTAACTTTGTGTAGTTGTATTCTTTTAGTTTAACCTGTCAAACCAGATTGCTGTGGATGCAAGTGTCCTACAGACATAATATCTGGTTCTCTTGAGAGTAGGGTGTCCCTGTTAAAAGTTTGCCTGGATGATCTGGTCCAAAAATGAACCTGTTTCCAGTATACTGGTTTAACTGCATTAAAATATAGATGTTGTCAGTTCCCTCCACAGGTTATTAGTCACCACTTAGTGTACTGGGATAATGGAGGCAGATTTATAAAGGTTTATTGATCAAGTAACATCACTTTAGGTTTTTGGTCTGTCCATAATATCAGAAGTGTGTCCCCCAGAGCGAGATGAGTCGGATCTCATCCCCTTAGTAAAGCCTTCCTGTAATGCTCGGCTATTGCGTTGTCTAATTGTGGAGTTTGTCCATCACCTGCAGAACATCATCCAGGATCGAAGGACCCAGGTCGAGGCTAAATGAAAAGCCACTTTCCTCGTCCTTTTGCTGTCCTTCAGTTTTGTCACAGATTTCTGAGGAGTCTCCATCTTTGTCTGAACTCACACTACCCCGACCAAGGCTGTGAGTCAGATTGTAAGCAACAGTATTCCCTCTTTGGTACCCATCCTCCTTTTCTAGCTCTCCTTCTCCTTCTTCACTGTCCAGCAGCGGCATAGAGCTGCATTTCTTTCTCTTGTGGGGAGTGTTGTGCTGGTGGCCGACAGACCAGTCAGGGCTCTCTGACCCCTCCGTCTCATCCAGGTTCAGACGAGGGGGCTTGGGTGGCGGAGAGCAGGCCATGAAGAGGTTCTGCTCGCTCTGGGAGCTTTGTAAAAGCAAGTTGTGGCCCATCTTTAAGAAGGACAGGTCTCCAAAGCTGTCCGTGTGGGCATCGTTGCCAATATGTGAGAGGTGGCGGAAATCAGCAAGTGGTAGGCTGATCATGTTGACTGACAGCACCTCCCGACGCTTGGGATTCCTGCTGGGCCAACGACCAGAGGATGGCTTTCTGTGCAGTGATGTTCTGAATGGCATCTTGGGAGAGCTGGTTGAGATAGACAGAAATGTTTCTTATATATCCTGAAGTCTTTGTATCCTTTTGTATTTCCCCTTCTGTTCGATAATGAATCCTTAGGAAGTTGTGAAGTTTAAAAACATAATGCCATCTGCAACACAACACAAAAAAGGAGAAAATCTAATTTAAAAAATGCTAGTCTCATTCCATGTTTTCTGTTAAAGTAATTGATAGAACACTAGATTATGAATCACTTTTTGATAAGCCAGCGTTCCCTCTCATCGTGCTAGAATATGGAGCAGGTCTGTGCTTGTCATGTAATTTAGCACCAGATGTAAGTATTGGACTGTAACAGTCCGCTTGATGTGAATCGGCAGCCATTGTTTAGAGATTGCACCTGCTCCACTTGATTTTTCTTTAATGAAATTCAGCATTATTTGGCAGCAGGGAGGTGTTCCAACAATGCTTTGAAGCTTTAGTTTCTAAATATTTACTTTATAAATGAGAGTTTTTTCCCATAAATGCAGGTGTGGTCTGTTGCATATCCTCCAAAACAAGTCTGTTAGCTCGCTGAAGACTTCCAGTAACAATGAAAAATACAGATTCCCAAATGGTAATTGTTGTCCTGCATGTAAGTGTGTTGTATCTATTCTCACTTAGTTTGGGGAGAACCTGAGGTTTTACTGTTATTTTATAGAAATCACGATGATAACTTCGCTTATGAACATATGTTTATGATTTTCAGAGGAAGTACAAATAGCTGGGATGCATTCAGTTTATTTTGCTGTGGTGTGAGAGTTATGCAGTGACTCTGGATGTGGAAGTTAATAAAGTTAAATATTCTTATTCCATAAATGGGATCACGCTGTAGCCATTATGTTTCAGAATAAATTATCCATTTTGTAGTTTGGGGATTTTATATTATTGAAATTTCACTTCCATCAACAAAACTTGAAAGGAAACATCTTGGTTAAAATGAAACGATACAATAACACTTGAAATTAAAGTCAAACTTGGTCTAAAAGAGAAAACCCTTTTTTGCGTTCCGTGACCTGTAATCATTTTATTGAGTAAAGCAGAACTCAGTTCATCAGCGCTGGCATGTCGATTAGATAATCTGCTCAGTGTCTGTGATTTAATGGTCTCCCAAACAGCTTTGCCCACATTAGGTCTGTGTTCGTGACTTGAAACACGCACTCTGTAAATTTGTAAGTCACTATAGCAAACAGGTTTTGTTGGCTTGTAAAGGTTTTATCGGCACTTTAGTAGCAGCGGGAGATTGGAGAGCGTGGACACAACAGCATTCCTTTCCAAACATGTCAGTTTGACCAAGGAGGAGTTTTAGGATTTCAGCCATGAGTATCATGTTCAGGAAACACTTCATGACCAAGTAAAAATTAAAGTAGTCCATTAAAATAGATTGGCCAAAAAACACTTTTTAAATGATCTTTCTCAGTGCTGCCATAAATGATCCATCTTTGGGACAGATGAGGAATCAGTCTGATGAAAACTTCAGCCACAGGTTAAAAGCAATTGATGACAAGATTTTTCTTTTCATACAGTTGTTCGTCTCATAGGATGAATAACAACAGAATAGATAAAGACTGATAATTGAATTCTTACCTGTCTTGCTGAGCAAATACAGGGTATTTGAATCCCGCACATGCACACACGTCTCTGTCAGGAAACTAGGCTGTGTCTACCTGCACACCCTGACAAACTTCCTTGGCATGATGGGACTTGTTCAGCCGTTGCAGAGAAGCCCTCATTGCACAGCCTTGAGACAGAAAAACAGAGTGTGTTAAAATGACATTTTCCTCAGTGACACAGCCCAATTAACGTTGACATTTAGGTGTAGCATTTAATATGCTCTATTGTAACTGCAAAGAGACCGTTTCTTACCTTTGTCCATACTGCTGCTTAGATGGGTGTGTTCAGTCCTTGGACATTTAACCTTTTTTTTTTTTTTTTGCTAATCCTCCCCAGTGTAAACTCCCACTTGCATCTCAACCCTCCAGGTGTGTTGCTGGTGAAAGTCTTCTTTGCCTAAGAGATAAGGCAGGTGAGATCAGAGTTCAGGAGTTTTAAGGCGTCCAGGTGGAAGCTTTTCTTCAAGCTCTTCTTAGTTTATATTTGCTGTCATCCCTTTTTAGAATGGTTGCCAGCCGTCAGATGATATCATCCTGCTTGCGGTGTGAGCTGGCCCTTTAGTCATAGGCGATAAAGTAATTCCTGCTGGTTGTTTGGCAGCACCCATTACCTGTGGGAAATGCAGCTGATTTAATTCCTCTGAATCTGAGAAATACCAAAATGTGGGAGAAACTACGGCGCACAACTAATTTTCTCAAGAGCGGAATGGTGTGTCAGTGTGCTTGAGAGATGGGAAGGACGAGGGGAGGTTGAGTTTGAATTGGTTTGTGCGTGCACAACAGGTTGAGTGTGTGTGTAGATGTGTGCTTATGTTGAAAAAGAAAAAAGAAAAAAGAAAAGGAAGCTATAGCCGGTGAGCAAACAGGACAGTCACCCGGAGAAGGGGGTTAACTGATCTCTAATCTCCATGTCATTGTCCCTCTGCTCTGCTGATTTCCTGATTTCCTGGCTGTTGTTGGCTTGTCTAAAGCCTCTGAGTCCACCCCACTCCACAGGCCCTTCTGCCTGACTGGAGGCCTATAGCTTCTCTATGTAATCAAAGCATACTATCGCACACAGACATGTATGGACAGGCACAGCACACTGGATTTCACAAGTGAGATAACTTGTTGCATTTCCAATTCTCACGGCTCCAGCATGTTGTCTTTGCCTCTGGAATGCTATAGTAATACAGTAATGGAAATTGTGTCACAACAGCAAACTCTTTTCAGCTCTATGGAATTTGTTATGTTAGGGTTAAAGCATTTTGTTGTGCTTTTGCAGGCAGTAATTGCTACTCGCGTGAAGGGCATGATCACTGTTTTTTGTGTTATGGTTTAGAAAGACTCTTTTTTTGAACTATTTAACCTTCTACAACCTGTATCTCTCTGTTTAAAGAGAGTATATTAAAATCACCAACACGGCTTCATGCTCTGATATTCTTATAAATAACACTGTGTTCCAGCAGAAAGGAGGACATGGCTCGGGTTTCGCTTTGTCCAATGCTTCTACTTGTTCACTAAACTTAAAACACGCAGGGTGTGAAGGAAATGGACCAATCGTATCTCTCACTATTCCTCCAGTCCTTTCAAATTGCTCCAATAAACAATAGGCGTGCCGCCTGATCCTCTTGTTCTCCCGCTCTGCACTCTAGTGCCAGAACAGTCTGCAAGACCAGACACAATTACTCACGCAAATGAAATTATCATAACATTTACTCAAGGCTGAAACAGAACATTTTTGAACATCTCTCTTCTGAGAAACCCCCTCCTTCTTCCACCTACGACCACAAAACTGCTTTCATGCTAGGAGACAATCAGGGTGATCAGCTAGCGTTATCTGTGGTATCTGGGAATGACCTCACAAGTCCTGCTCTGACCGAGGTTGGGCTTACTTTGTTAGTTGTGTTGTCATGCTATGTAGCCTCTGAGCTGATGCGTTTAGCCCTAGCTGGATTTCTGTATAAGCCTCTTTTCTAAGGCCTGACCATAGCGGGCAATGTGGTTTGATGCAGCTATGCTGGGCCTGAAATCTGGGATGCTGCGTGTTTTTGTTGTTGCAGGATAAAAAGTGTTTCCAGATATTGCTTTGACTGGCGCTAGAAGCCCAAACTGAGGCTTTGGTGGATATTCTTCTGGCCCTTTGTTGTGTGTTCTCCATCTTCCGCTCTATGGAGGCCCTTAGACAGCCAACATTTAGACTAGATTTACAGCAAGCACTGTCTCGTTCTTTTATATGAAAAACATTGTTCAATGACGACAAACACAGGACATACCATACTCAGCCGATTCAGCTCTGAGATATATAACAGTATGAAAAGCATGAAACTAGACGATTGAAATTGGGCAACTTCTCTATCCGAGTAGCTACTCTTTGTAATGTCCTTTCATCAATTCTGGTGAGAACATCCAAGTTAGCATTTGTCATCATCCGAACCGTTGCCATCATTGTTTGTCTCCAAAGTTATGACTCAATGATGAGCTTTGCGAAGGCGCTCCAAAGGAAACTTGGCGGTCTGGCTGCTCAGATGAAGTGTAGACGCTCAGTTGCATCACTGCCACATGACAAAGATCTGACATCAGTCAAAGTCCAGGTGTGATGTTGTTGAATACCAAATGCTGACTCATCAACACATGACAAAGGTTACAGTATCGTCTAATCAACACAATAAGTTCACATCAGGACCGTCACAGTAAGGAGGAGAATAGGCTGGGTCATTAACAGAGAGATTTAATATACTTAAAGCAAGAAAACATGGCATCTGTTTAACTATCAGAGATGTATTATGAGTTTTTAGAGGAATTGCAGTGGGCTACAGGTGTAAAATATTTTAGAGCTGCAGTGACTGAATCTGGTGTCTCTCTCCTGTCATTCTCAGCAGTCAAATGTCCAATAAAGGCAGAAATCGACCTCCAGAAAATATGTTATATAAAGGTAATTTTGTACTATTATCCAGAGAAGTCTTGTACCCACAGATATATAAAATGTCTTTTCCAGCTCTCTATGGAGTTTTTTTTCGTTGCAGGATTGACTTTGAAAAGTTTAATGTACATGACATGCTATTTCTTCCCAGTGAATGTAGGCGGTCGGTGAAAACTGGGAATGTACTTCTGTGTCTCCTGGCACCGAATCATTAGTAATTATTAAATCATGGCTGTGATATTTAGATTACTTTAAAGACTGGATAGTTGAAGTAAACAATGTGCTAGCTATACACTAGCTGTTTGTTCTGCACATTAAATACTGTAGATAAGGAACCCTGTTAATATGGGAACACATACACAGAACAAACAGACATTTCAAATTATTGTGTTTGGAACCTTGATTTAATTTTCTGTTTTTCTTCTCCTTTCATAATACCTGAGCTCTTTTTGACATCTCCAAGGTTCAGGCTGCATTCTTACCAGTCCCGTGGCCCCTTTTGTTTTAATGGGAAATCTTTTGCAATCAGAGGGTTTTTCCCGGAAGGCTAGGATGTGAAAGACATAATTTTGCTTTTACAACGATGTATTGTTGGATATTATAGAGGCCAAACCCCCATGTCTGCCTATTCTAGGATCCCTTAGCTCATCCATCATAAAGAGAAATGCCAGGGCACCAGGAGTTCAGGTCTTTGCTGCCATTTCTCTTTTCACTGTTTATTTCCTTTACTTTAACAGTTTCCAAAGGCACTCTCCATCTCCGTCTAACAGGCTTCTCTTCTGTCCAATACCGTGACCGTGTACGTACAACCACATGCATACACCTCCATTCATATACACACATCTTCTTATATGACACCTCAGATCCGCCACTGCCTTTTTTTCCCCTTCACTTTGCCTGAATGTTACTGGCTGATTCGCAGTCCACACACAACTACTATAATCTATGCACAGTGGTCATTCAGGTTTTATTTTGTTGGCATGGTCAGGAAATCAGCTCTGCATTTTCAGCTCAACGATACCTTTCTTCAATTTGTGAAAATTGAGAAAATTTAAAAATAACTGTATTTTTACATACAGTATACAGCTTTTCCAGTATGGTTTCAAGGACGTCTGTAAATTCTGCAGCTTGCGTAAAAAATAATTGACCTGTATAATTGCGTTTGTCACAATCAATGATCTGTAGATGTATTCACTAAGACTACATGTGCAGAGTTTTCTGTTCAGACTCATGGCTTTTGCTGTCAAATAAAAAGAGTTCTTGTCCTGGAGTTCCATTCAGAAACCAGATGTTGGCAGGACATGTGCATGTAAAGGGTTAAATACAGGAAGTAGATTTGGGCCTTAATCTCTATATAGGGTTTGTTTTTCACTAAGAAAAACAGTGTACTAGACCAGACATTTGTGGTAGTCAAAGTAATCATGACCCTTGTATGATCCTATTTAATAGAGAACTTTGAATGAGCTGCAGAGAAATGGCAGATGGGAGTTTTGCTTTATTTCTGTCTGGGTCCCAATGAAGTGATTGTTTCCAGTTAAGGTGCAGAAATAGATCTACAAATCTAAGGAATGCACATGCCTCCATGCCGAGCGGGAATGATCACTGAAAGTTTTGAGGAGTATAAAAATTTTACGATCAAAATCATCAAAGCAGCGTCTTTAAGAAGAAGGATTTTCATCCTTGCAATAGAGCTCCAAAGACCGTAAGTATTGCTATTACTCCTTAGCCAATGTTAGCATTAACAGCTGTTTACTCACCAGTCAAAAAGAAACTTTGCGATTTCGGCATCAAACTTCGTTCCCTTATCAGCCAAGTGCTGTCTCCAGTGGTAGAAAGCTTTGCTTCTATTTCTCACACCTTTACTCTGCTGAAGTTAGCATGCTAACCAGCTACCTCCGGCCCGGTCGGCCCATCTCATGACTTTCTGATAGAGTCACTGAGGCGTCCAGGCTGCCCTGAAGAAGTAGTGCTGCTCAGAGGATGTATTATAACCTCTTGTATTATAAACACAACAATGGCTGAAGCTCTAAGCAAGACTGGTAAATAAACAGCTGCTAATGCTAACATTGGCTTTGTAGCAATAACAAAATTTACAATAAGCTCTGAAGCTGTTCAGTATTTTATTTCAGTTTGGAGAAGTAGTGGTAATCTCATTTTAAAGTCTCCCTCCTCAATATTCCATTGCTTTTGCATATTCACACACTTAACTCCGTCACTCTGGTCATGCTCACATGCTTACGTACTCACACAAATCTCACACAAACACACATAAAGAAATGGTGTAATTTGCAGCTGATCTGACAAGTTATGCCGGGGGAATGCAGTGGCCACCTGCGCTGAGAGATGCCTCCTCTTGTGTGTGGGAAGGAGTTGCAGTATGAGTCTGTGTGTGTGCGCGCGTGTGTGTGTGCGTGTGTTA